TATATATATATATATATATATATATATTCCAATTTAATTTGCTATCCAGATGGAGTTAAAGATATTTAACAGATTCTATTTGGAAGATTTCTGAATTTTGAAAATTGATTTTGGGAGTTGATTAAAAGCGAAGATAATATGTGAGCTAAATTTATTTTAATTTCATTGTCATTTTTAGTTTTCAATTCTTTTTACATGATGTTGTAGATTTCTTGCAGCAATTTCAATTTGTTTTACGTATAAAGAGAATAGCTATGTTATCTACAAAAATATATATATCTGATTCAATTGATATATCAGCAGTAAATAATGAATACAGCAAAGGCCCGAGGATTTTCTTGCGGTACGTCAGCATAAACTTTTTTGAGCGATGAGATTGTGTTGTTGATTTTGATATAAAAGTCAAGTCTATTTAAAAAGTAATAAGAAGTAACTGCGTAAATTAATAAGATAGTTACAATTTTTCTAATAGTTTTATGTTAAATTTTATCGAATGTCTTTTCTACATACATCTAAAAAAAACTGTTGTGCAGTATCTGCCGTCCTTCATTGTGCGGATTATTTTATCGATCAGTGTATTTGCTATATATTACAGTGTTTTTTTTATTATTTTGGAAATAATTATTATCTTGGAAATAAAGATATATATCCTTTAGGATATATATTTTCCGGGTTTCTGCACACTTTCAAATGTATAGGAAATATCTTATTCTAAAATTTGTATTAACTAGTGTCGTTAGATATTTTACTTATTTATCTGGAAGTTATTTTAGTTGCCTTAACGTCGTTATTCTTTAATTTTTTTATAATAGCACATATTTTCTCTTATTTCATTATGACTTTGTGGAGTAGTAATATCATTGCGTGAACAAGATCTATGAAAATTTTCGTGAAAATTTTTTGCAAGTAATCGGCTATAGTTTTTACTTGCCTCTGTGGATTTTGTTCAGCTTTCGTCCTGTTTTTAAATTGGAGATATAGAAATTAGAGAGTTTTTCGAGTTTTTTTTTTGTACACTTCTACAGCGAAGAATTTATTCTTTCTGTATTCTTTGTATTAATTATTTTACGAATTTCCTTTTTGATTTTGTTAGTGAGTAGATTCAGTTAAGTTTTGTACTGCGGCTACTTCCTGATCTGTCATTATTTTCTTATTTCTT